TGAGGTGTGATGTACTGGTGATAATAGTTTTGTTCCTTTAGAAAATGTTTACTGAAAGTAAAGCCCATACAAAGGCAATTGATCTGGAGCTTCGACGCCTTGATGTCCAGCAGTCAAATCAACATGTGCAGTATCTAGCAGCATATATGCCTGAAACATTCATGAGCAGGGGAGGTATGTGCATGTTACACATAGTTACATCCTCATTGTCTCTCGTTTCCTAAATTGTGAGCCTTTTGTACAGGCAATGTTATTGTGGACTTGCTTGGCTTATAAATTGTATGCCATGGTAATTTGTAACATCTGAACTGTTCTTTCATAACAGGAGTACCTCTGTTCAAGTAGATTTATGTGGAGTGTTGTTTTGTAGGAGACCATGATGCAATACTTGTGTTGTTGCTGATTTCACGGTTGTTGTGGAAGGCAGAAATCTTGTTATCACAAGTGAGGGACAAGTTCCTGCCCGTTGAAAATATTGATCGTATTGCAGTTGTCAGGGGCCATGCTGTTGAACAGTTTACTTTCAAGTCAAGACTTTGTCATTATGTGTATTCTCTTCAGGTATGTATATTGTATTTGTTTTTACTCATTACTGGGTACAGGTGTCATAATAAGAAAGACGCAAGATTACTTCCCTCATAAAATCACAGATTCACAGAAAATAAAATATTAATTTTGTAGTTTTAAATCTAAATGCAGTTTGTTCCTAGTTATTGTTTATTCTGGCATACTTCTTCCAGGTTGTTGCTTTGTTTGATGAGGTTTGTTATTCTTAAATTATAATTTGTTTTAATGATTTAGATAGTTGTGTTGCTGTAGATCTGTTTTCTTCCCATGTTCACTCATGTTCTACAAAATTCAATAAAACTTTTGTCACTCACTCTGACGTGACCCTTCTGACATCAAATGACATCTGATGTCTTCCTGTTTTACATTAGAACCACTTCCAGCAACAGTATGCTACTTTGTCATACAGCAAGTACACACTAAAGAATATATTGTCTGCTTACACAATTGATACTGACACTATGCAGTCTGAAAAGATTCAGTGCTTTGTATTGCTGATGATGTAAACATTTTGTCATACATTCTAAATGAGGAAAAAACCTTATTTTATACATAAGCACTTGTACTAGCTCTTATTTGGTTGCTATTAGGAATACTGCTTTCTGTGGACTGTAACTGCTTATAGATAAAGACAGGATGTTTACACATAATTTAACAAAAAGTAAAGCCCATACAAAGGCAATTGATCTGGAGCTTCGACGCCTTGATGTCCAGCAGTCAAATCAACATGTGCAGTATCTAGCAGCATATATGCCTGAAACATTCATGAGCAGGGGAGGTATGTGCATGTTACACATAGTTACATCCTCATTGTCTCTCGTTTCCTAAATTGTGAGCCTTTTGTACAGGCAATGTTATTGTGGACTTGCTTGGCTTATAAATTGTATGCCATGGTAATTTGTAACATCTGAACTGTTCTTTCATAACAGGAGTACCTCTGTTCAAGTAGATTTATGTGGAGTGTTGTTTTGTAGGAGACCATGATGCAATACTTGTGTTGTTGCTGATTTCACGGTTGTTGTGGAAGGCAGAAATCTTGTTATCACAAGTGAGGGACAAGTTCCTGCCCGTTGAAAATATTGATCGTATTGCAGTTGTCAGGGGCCATGCTGTTGAACAGAAGAATAGATTGTCTGCTTACACAATTGATAGTGACACTGTGCAGTCTGAAAAGATTCAGTGCTTTGTATTGCTGATGATGTAAACATTTTGTCATACATTCTAAATGAGGGAAAAAACCTTATTTTATACATAAGCATTTGTACTAGCTCTTATTTGGTTGCTACTAGGAATACTGCTTTCTGTGGACTGTAACTGCTTATAGATAAAGACAAGATGTTTACACAGAATTTAACAATTTCACAGCTTAACATATTTATCCAAATACCATGCAATGCTGAATAAAACTTGCACTCTGAATTTTATGGCACTTACAAGAGCAAATTAGTATTTGAATTAAACTAATATTGACTGATAAATTATATTAATGTATCCAATATATTGTGCAATGGTTAATGAAATGACAACCAACATGAAAAATATTAAACTAAATAAAAGATGGATTTACTCTATTCATCATGACAATTAATTATTTCCTTGCGTGATTTAAAGTTTTCATGGTGGTGGTGATGTTGGCAGCTCCTGTGAATGATGTTGCCAGGCTTAATGCTTTATCTTGTATATTCTCCTTTGTGTTATCCAAATCATATTCTCTTATGATGAGCATCCAGTCATGTAAAAATGCTATATAAGAGATGTGCAAGGTATTTGTAAGGATTCTGTTTCATCAATTAAGCAGTTCATTATGACATAGATGTAGTGTTCATTTCAGTGTTTTTATATAAATTACATAAACACGCATTTATCAATACAATTCAACAGTGATGATGATAATGATATAATTCAGTCCTTTGAAGTATGTCCTCTATGTTACATGTGTATTTCTAGGCCACATTACATCAGTTCCTGTATGGACTGAATTCATGTTCACCAGACACACTCCTGAAAGTTGGGGCAGCATATCCTGAAATGGCAGTACAGGAGAAAGCTGTTGACATGTTTGTTGAGCTCCTGAGGAAGGACCAGGTACTTATTTTAAGATATTCAACTACTGACAGGATTGAAAAATATAAGATTGCTGTTTAAAGAATTTTATCTGTTGGGGTAGTTGGAGGATTGTTTTTATTTTTGAGGTTAGTGGTTACAGATGGAACAAAACCCAGAACCCTTTGAGTAATAAACTTGTATGCTAACTTCTAGACCATGGTAAAAGTATCCATGAAGATAGTGAAAATTAATTAGGTATAATTGATATAAACAAGTTCTTTTAAATCAACTGTTCAGTAGTTACAGGTTACACTGAAGTCGGATGACACATATGACAAAACTAAAGTAACTTATGATTGCTATTTTTGTGCTAAACTAATAATAATGTATACCATTGTGTAACTTGGAATATTTTAATGTTAATCTATTCATTATTTTGTTCACAGCTTGATGAAAATGTTACAACTGAGGCTTTGGAACGCTGTGTTGCCTATTTCAACACGGTTTATCCAGTACTTATAGGTACTGAGACTAAAATGAACCAAACCTATCTCCTGGGAGATAGTGGAAGGGCCTTGTCATCAGCGTGCGACAGTATCTGTACAGATGCTGCTGTGATCAAGACCTTAATACAGGTATTGTTCCTTCCTGTGAGTGAATACAGTGAAACTCATTGTTACACAGTGCTATTAACTCACCAGAGAAGTTGTAGATCATAGGAAATTGATAATTTGCTATACTTTCCAGACTAAGATGCACCGGAATAGAAGACATGCCCAAGTTCTAGAGCGAAACTTATGAAAACAATTACTATATCTCTGGACTATTTGGTTCATACAAATGTTAGGCAGCATTTTCCAGAAAAGATAAATACTGCAACAGATTTCAACATCTTTCACTTGATATAACTATTAATTTGAAGTAATCAAGAAATAGTGCTAATTTTTGCCATGTAAATTATGATGTGAGGCTATAATACTATTTATATATTCATGTGCATGAGATGCAAGAAATTTTGTTAATGACTGACACACATTTGTGCCATAGTGCCAGCAAAAGTATTTCTTACCATCGTATCTGATATTACAGAGTCTCTCGAGTTAAAATAATACAAGAGTCAGTATTGTGATAAGAGTCGAGAAGCTATGTCATTTGTTGCAGGAAATATGATTGTTTATTCTAGAACAAATGCAAAAAATTTAATTAAAAAAATAATATTCCGCTGAAACTATGAATCTGTCTTATGCTTTTGACACGTGCTGAAGGTGCAATTTGTCTTGAATTTGTGTTGCATTTAAACAGGCTGGTCAGGAATCTGAAGACATTGGTTCTCTAAGCCAGTACCTGGTTACTGCTGTGGATGTGATACAGCAGCAGCTGAAGCAGATCCGGCTTCGCATTCCACAGGAAGGGTCAGTAACTCAACTTGGTTTCTCAGATGATGTTACGGCTGTGCTACAGCAATGCTGTCACCATGCAGCAAAAGTGATGAAAACTCTGCAGGACATAGTAAAGGCTTCCCTTCAGCAAATTGCACTAGGTGGAGGTAAGAGGCGGTGTATGGTTATTAGTCTTTATAAAATATGTGACTTAGGCAAGTAGAACAAATTTATATTACTAGACTACCTTTTACATGTTCTTTACAAGAAATGCATCAGTTGAATGGGGGAATTGTGCCATATGCATGTTTCATATCTGAAAGTGTTGTGGTAAGTGAATTTTGATCAAATTTGGTATTAAGGGTCTGCACTAAGGACTGTTAGACAAACTTTATTTGTTGGTCCATATTGGACCAGTGTAACCCTTACTTTACAAAATGTTCCACTTTAATTTGACAGTTTTCTGTCAGAACAGGACCTTACAAAATATTGGTACGTAACATAAAGTACACATCACATTAAAGTGTACTACTTGTTTTTAAACTTATTTCAACAAGTTGAATACTTAACAAAATACAAAGGAAAATAATTTTATTATCTATAGTATGCCATTTTTGTGATGTGTTTTGCAACAGTATATCTGTCTGCAATAAATTAGCATCAAGGTTAGTGAGGTATGAAAAATTGTAAAGTACATAAGTATTACATTTTTGAGATTTTTTAAAATCAGATGTTGGTATAGTTGCATTTGTTTTTCTGTTTTGTACACTTTTGTGAAGAATATGAAGTTGGATATGGTAACTTCTGTAGGTAATTGTGTTATTTTCAGAGATTATGAGACCTTTTGTTAGAAAACTTGGTAAGAATTCTTTAATTTAAAATGGTTAGTGAGATTACAAAATTCATATTTGATGAGAGCACCATTTTTGAAGTTTTCTATGCATAACCTGTTTATGAATATCTAAATGCTGGCTGCATTTATACAGTAACCATCAGCTGTAACATCAGGCAGTGAAATCTAACTTATCAGAATACATTTGTGTTCAGATCTAGATGTGGGCCTACCTCATGACAAAGTGAAGGAATTTGCGCATGTATCAAGTGACAGAATATTTGAACATGAGGACTGTGGCCCTGTTGAGAGTTTAAAGACATCAATTGATTTCATTCAGACTGGGGTGGCAAAGATTGCACAAGCTATGCAAGATGGAGAATATGACATTAACACAAACTCCAGCACAGAAGAAAAGGTAAGATGGAAAGATTCACACCAAATACCACTGTATAGTACTGATCAGACAGGAGATTCATAGTTATCCTCAGTCCCGTTGTGGCAAATGTGACGATCGTACATTATCTTCATGTCAATATGATGGATTAAGTTCTTATCCTGCTCTTCTTACAAGAATGATGAAACTGAAGCAAGTTCTTCTGTTAAACATATGTGAACAAATTATGGTACATTGCCTGTATGTAAGTGGTACATTGTATGGAGAGAGTATATCTGTTGAACAGAGGAATTTATAGTCTGTAAACTTCGCTGTATTTGATAATGTTTCCAGCCTGTGCCACCTATTGTTCTAAGAGCCCACGTGGTCAAGAAAGAGTTAGAGGAAACTAAAAACCTGAAGCAGAAACTAGAAGCGAAGGAGGCGGATATAAAGGTAATTAGTGAATATTGATAGCATGATAGTTGCTATGTAAAGCTGCTAATCTTTCCTTAAAAAAAATCACTGTAACATTTGATAACAAATTTTTCAGAAAACCCAAATGTGAGAAACCACTTGGGAGTCCTAGGCGTAGATGGATGGAATGTATCTGAGAGAATTTGAGTGTGAGCATGTGGAATAGGATCAGGATAGGAACCAGGGGTGAACTGTTGTGAATACACTAATGAATTTTTGAGTTCCCAATTTCTTGGTCAGCCGAGCAACATCTAGCTTCTGAAGAAGGAATCTGCTCTATAGATACTGAAATTCCTATTCACACTTGCACGTGTTATCATAATAATTGGCGATAATGAAGTGAAATGTTCAATTGCAGGAGCTAAGGATTTCCTTGAAGCTTAAGCAGGAGGAAATGAGTGAGATCACTATTAGAAAAGAACTAGCAGAAAAGAAACTTGGAAATGTGAACAAAGACTATGAGCTGACTATTGAGAAGTTGCAGGTAAGTTAGCTGAGCCACAGGCATGATATTACTTCACATTTACAAGTCCTGGTTTTGTTGTGATCATTAACATGTATGATCACATTTGTAGGGCCTTATTCAAATTGTATGTCCTAACTTATTTAGACTCTGAAGAAGTATCATTAATTATTAATGTGGAAAGTGAAAATTGGTATCACATTCTTCCCAAAGTTTTTTATTTCTGTATATTATATGTTTAGAACAGTGGTTCTCAAACAAACGTTTGTCTGGCCCATATTCAGTTTTACATAACATTTACATGTAATTGTGCCAAAATCTAAGTAGACTGTGATAATTCTTTTTAACGTCTTACTTCCTTTGTTTCTTCTGTGAACCATTCCATAAGTTCCAAAACGAACATAATAAAAAGTAGAAGTGCAAGGTAGAATAAGAATTACTACTGGTATGTCCCCTTAGAATATTCTCCTATCAAATCCATACAGTTCTACCATTGGTGCTAACATAACAGAAAATAGTTTTTGAAGATCATTTTGAGTGCTGCTGTTTAATGTCTCGAATTTAGTGTATATGGTATCCTTGTAAACAGTTCTTGAGTTTGAGAAATAAAAAAAAAAATTGTTAGGAGGTAAGAAGAATAGAGGTTTGATTGTTGTTATCTATGTTGTATATTATTCATACCTTCTTTTTGAATCTCCTGAACCAATGTTTTTGGTATGATCTTGTCACCATAGAACACTTCAACTCTTTATATGATTTATACATCTTTTTCCATTTTCACACAAAATTTTATATTATTATTTTTATTCTTTGTTCTGAAAATATTTCACCCATTTTTACAGTAAACGTGTAGCAAGAACTGATAAAGGTGAACACTCAACAAAAGAAGCCACAAGCACAGTTACAGCCTCTTACAAAAAAATAATTTCAGTGACTGCTTTCTTTTGAACACAGCTTGGTGGCTGCACTTAAGTTTCAGTATCATTGAACTTTTTAATCTCTTATTTAGAGTATGCTTTGCTGACTCAGATATATGACAATTTTTATTCATTTGTTGTATCAGCGCAAACTGGATGATGCACAGCAGCTTTTGAAGCGGAAGGAGAAGGAGTTTGAAGAAACTATGGATCACTTGCAGGCTGATATTGACTCACTGGAAACAGAAAGAGGAGAATTAAAGGAAAAACTAAAGAACTACTCAAAGAAAGCACTAATAGAGGGTATTTCAAAAACAGCAGGTCAGTTGACTCCCTACCGTATGATTGCGCGTGTGTGTACATATATCCTCACACCGAACGTCGTGATTGAGTGTTTAACACCCCTGCTTTGTATTTGGGAGGCCCTGGGTTCAAATCTCTGCCCAAGAGACTTTCTATCATGACTGGGGGTTTTCGTAGTTTTCCTCAGTCCTTCCAGGCAAATGCTATAATAGCTCCTTAAATTAGGCTACAACCAATTCCGTCCACATCCTTTCCAATTCACTATCATCCTCTCATTTGACACTCTACAGTCCGTCGTAATAAAAAATAAAAGTTGTTAGTGCTTCATATTTGGGAGATCCCAAGATTAAATCTCTTATCGAACACCGGGCATTCTGAGATTTTCCATGGTCTTCTCAGACCAGGATAGTACCTTGGAATTTAGTCACGACCGCTTCCTTCCATATAATTCCTAATTCATTAATCATCACAATTTGGCGTGATATACATATACAGGATGATTCAAAAGGGTAGGGCCAAACTGAAGGAGCATTTAGAGGGACTGAGAGAGAACAACTTTTGACTAGGAATCTATGTCTTCCGAAGTTATCCTGAGCCCTAACCTTTTGAATCACCCTGTATAGTCTGAGCTACTGGAAAAATCATCATTAAATAAACTACATATAAATAAATATCCTGACTTCATTAGAATGTTATGATATGGTTATTTTTTGTTAATCCATATGGGTGTTGATATTTATTTTAATGATTTGTCTCTATTTGTTTCTGAGTCTAAAGTGCAAGTGTCTGTAGATTGACAATAGCTGATGACATATCTAATACTATATATTCTCTGAAGAATTCACTGCAGTAATGTTGCTATTTTATCAGTGAGTTCTCCTAGTCCAGTGCAGTACCCATCAACACCAAGCTTGCCTGCAATGGTTCGTGACTCACCACTTCTGATGCAGCAAATCAAAGACTTGAGAATTGCACTGAGAAATGTTCAAAATGAAAAACTTCAGCTCCAGACAAAACTCGCAAAGAATCAGCTGGACAGTTTACAGCCGCTGAAGGTGAGAAACTGTTATTTTTGAACTTGTGTTAATGATCATACATAAAAGAGGAAATACTGTGCAATGTGCATTAGTGGCTCTGCAAAATGTAATGATTCTATAAAGATAAGTGACAGTTACTGATTTATTATACTAGTTATGTTGGACGTTGTCAATTGTCTGACATGAGTAGGATGATTTTGCACTAACTCTATAAACATGTGAAGTCATTTCTACATTTATATGATAGATGCATGAAAAATTGTGTTAACAACATTAAACCAAAGTTAAGTTATGATAGAGGTATACTTGTGTGTGGATGAGAGTCATTAATAAATTATTTGTACTTTCTAGCTGCAAATATGTGTGATGACAGTGATAGTGAATCTGTTGTTAGTAGCAACTATAAAAATACTGAGAATATTTTAATAGCGAAGGCACTGTTAAACACCTGCTCATTGAATCTGCTGCCAAAAAATGATGAGTTGTTTTAGTGGTACTGCTGATGAACTGGTGATGGTGTGAATGTAAATGCTTCTAAATGTTTGCTGTATATTCCTCTAAATTGTGGTCTTTAAATGTCAAGTGTGTGGATTAGATTAGGGATTATGATTTTTGTAAAGTGTCTTTTTGTTAAGAAATGGCCATGTACTACATGTGGGATGGACTTTCAGGTAGAGGCCCTTTGTGCATTATCTGAATTTCAGTCACTGAGGTACATTTGCTAATGGGTTTATAGTCTTTCTGTGATTGTATTAGGTACTGTGCTCGACTGTAATCTTGAGACTTGCAAGGAATGCAGGAAGTCCGAAACAGTAAAGGCAGATGCTGTCTTTCCTCCTTCACCCCACATCCTCACCCCGCAAATCTCAAGATTACAGTCGCAAACAGTATATTTGTTTGTATACTGCTTCAGATTCCGAAGAAGAAAATAGTTTGCAGAGAATTGGAAGTTCCGAAGGAGCAAGATGACAAAGAAAACCAAGAGGAAAGTAACTTGGGGAATTTAGTAAAGAAAGCCTCAGCTTTACATAAAGTAAGTTACTGGTTATAATCAGCAGAGCCAGTACATTAGAATATTACCCCTGGTACTTTCTTTATTGCTGGGGCATTGCCCTTGCATACTCTCAGAATGTCTCTTTTTAAACTTTGAAAAATTATATAAAATAAAAGTCACAACTTAAGTCCTTTAATTTCTGATCTCTCTGTTTGAGGCAAAAGCATTAAGTATGTGCATTTTGTGAGCTGTTTCTATATTTAAATTCTGCATTTAAAAGTGTAAATATGCCATTAAGTAATGACCAGAACAGCTTTATATCAGGATTTGTATCAATTTCTGCCAACCTGGAACTGCATGCTAGACCACCTGAGACTTTAATTTGTAAGACTACTTTGCTGGAAACCAATTATCATGCCCATATAAAAAACTGGCAAAATTATAGTTTTTTATTATTATTAGGTTTTTTATAGGAGACAGCAATGAATTGGAGAGACACATATGGGTAACCACTGACACCGTGCCTTTTATATTTCCAGGAAATATTGCACGTGATGGTGAACCCTAAAGTTATTGACATTAGCTCGCGAGTTCCAGGCACTCCAGCATGGCTGGATAGATTGGCACCAGCAAATTATCTCATTCAGGAGGTGACTAAATTGCAGGATTTACAAAAGAGAGTTGAAGGACTGCAGGTAAGATTTGAGTGAATCACCTGGATTGAAAACAATTTAATATCACCAGAAATAAACTTTGTCACAATCCATTGTCATATTCACCAGAGTGAATTTGTATTTGAAAATCTCTGCAGAGGGGGCTGGTAGCTTTGACATTATTCTCATTTAAAAACCTCTTGGTCCAATCCCAGTCATATCTGTCTATGAATTTTTCTGCTCACAGATCGAAGCTTTCACTTCTGCTAAAGATAAAAACTTTGAGAATCTGAAGAATATTAGGCTCCTATCATGATTTGAACCTCATGTCAAACTGTAGGTATTTGTGCTGACCATCATTCTCATGATCGCCCTATCAGTGGGAGTACTGGAATTTGCTGTATGGTGTTCTCACCTCAGAAATAGATTCTGCCCCCTTGCATAGGTGGGCACAGGCCAGGATGGTCATCGTACCTGGAGGCATCACATACAAAGAAAGAAAGAAAGAAACAAATAATCTTCTCCACTTGCAGATGGAAGTTGTGCGGGAAGTTGCTAGACGGAAAGCAGGAGGCAGAGTGAAGGCTGATTTTGCATTGTTCCCATCTACAGAAATGACCAAGGTAAGATGCAGTATTAGGACCCTTCAAAAAGGTGAGATTGTAGGACAATAATATGTAATGTACTTGATTAGTTTACAGGAGCTTCTCATTTTGTACGTAGTTTCGTATGGGAAGATCACTTACCAGTCTTCCATAAGGAGATGTTTCACTGAACTACTGTATGGTATTGTTTTAGTGGCATTTATCTCCCCCTCCCCCCAACTGTATCCCAATTTCCACATTGGTTTTGCATGTAGGATCTTTACAGAACATCAAATTGATGCAGCGTCAGTATGAATGAAAATTTTACTTGTAAGTGACTACCTCTTTGGTTTTGGTTTTAGGCACTTCATGAAAGTAAACCTGAAGTGATTGGACATCTTACAATTCCTGTTACTGATAATCAATCAGCCAGCGCTTCTAATGTACCCCTTATCTTGAATGCTGAAACATTGATGATGTTACAGAGGAAACTATTGCTGTGAATTATAAACAGCAGATATTTTATAAATTAAGCATAATGTTAATCTTTATATGTAAATGAAGGCTTAATTATTGTGAATTGTAAAAATTGGAAGCACTTCTGAAACTGTTAAGTTTTGAATTAATTTCCATTTCTGATGTATTTTTGTTCGTGTAGCAAAGAATAACGTTTACAAATTTATATGCCAACTAAATAGAGCTGAATCGATTTTGTTAGAAGGGTCAGTAACAGTTCCTTCTCCGAGTGATCGTTAAAATTGAAACTACTATACGCCATATTATACCATACTATATTTAGGTTCATAGAAAATGCAGTTCTGACTGAATTCCATACTGAAATTTTATTTCCTCTAAAAAATTACATGAGATACATTCTGGTGGTTTAGTTTTCCATATTGTAACCTCTTAACAAATCGTAACTGATTCAATTTACTGAAACCAGCAACATGCAGTAACGTTCCTGCACGTCACTAGGCTCACAGAACATCAGGTCCCTGTTGCAAATGTTTGCAACAAATTTGAGGATTGTGTCTGCTTTGTGCCAGGACATAAATTGAATTTATCTCAAAGATGTAATGAGCCAAAAAGATACTTACTAATGTAATCAAAGTCTCGGACAGACGGACCTAACAGAGGGTAGGACCGAATGGAAGAGGAGAATTGAGGAGGCCACGGACCGGAGAGCCATAGAAGAAGAAGAACGTAACTTTTAGTCTTGTGTTAGAAATTTGAACAGTCAACAATCATAAAATATACCAGAATTTTCATTGTAAACCATATTTATAGCAATGAACTTTCACTATAGTAAACACTTCTGAAACTATGCATGAAATATCTAGCCTAGAAGCACTGACACATCTTGTCTGGATTTATTTGGTGTTTGAGATCAGTTGAAATGTGTCCTGTCATTTCTCAGCAACGTTTTGTGGTTATTGAGTATTATAAATTACATACAATGTAAGATTTGAGGTTTTCACATCGGTGAGTATGAAGATTTCTGTCTTCTGGGTTGTTGCGCCGTGTAGT